CTAATTTTTTTTTTTTTCTAATTGTAGAGATGAGGTCTCACCAAGTTGCCCAGGTGGGTCTCGAACCCACGGGCTCAGCCTCCTGAGGCACAGAATTACAGGCTGAGCCACCGAGCCCGGCTGTTACGAAATTTTTCAATCTGAGTATAAACTGAGGGGGGTGTATGTCTGCTCGAATAACAATTACTGAGATGGGTAATGAAATTTCTGAACGTAATGATGAATTTGTCACATTTTCCTCTTAATTTTTTTTCTATATTTTGCTGCAACCTTAGGTGATTGTGTTTAGATTCTCTCTCCCTGATGAAGTGAAACTTTTATCATTATTTGGTAGTTTTCCTTGATGATGTTTTGCCTCAAAAACCATTTTCCTTTTGACATTGTCATTTCTGTATTTTTTAATGTTTTACTCTCTTCTAATCAGCATATAGGTAAAGTTGGTTTCTTTTTATATTATAGCACAATTTATGCCTTTTAACAGCTGTGTTTAGGCCCATCATCTTTTTGTGTTATCACTTATTTGGTTTTATTTATCTTAAATTATTTTGTGCTATTTTGATACTTATTTGCAATCTCTGTCTCTTTTTTGCTTTCTTTTAGATTAATTGCATACATACACTTTTATTCTAAATCTCTCATCTATTATGAAAGACATATACACCATTTATATTCTTTGAGTTCATGTCATTCTTCAATCTGAAAAATTCTCAAGTTATCTTGCTAAAGGGAAAAGAAAGACTATTAGAGATTGCACACTAAGTGAAAAAGCTGTACTGCCAAGCCATGGGCTGGGTCCAACAGAATCCAGCTAGACTTCCAGAAATAAGGTAGCTGTTGGAGAGGAGAAATGTGGTGTGGTAGGTCTTCTAAAACTTACAGACTACAACCTGCCCCTGTCCCAAATCAATAAGAAAAGCAAAGCTGCTCAGTGTTGTTGGTTGTCTGACAATGAGTTTGTCATTAGGTAAACAATGGCCCAACTAAAGGTGGTCTGCTCTGTCCATGTGGTCTCAGTCTGAGGATTGGAGTCAAGGTGCCTGTGTTTTGTACAGTACTAGTCACAGACAATGTCACCCAGTCAAGCGTGACCAGGTCAAGACATTGATTTCTATAATCTCTTCTTTAAAATTTCCATTTGGTATGACTCTGTGAAATCTCTGCATTCTAGCCTGTATGTCTCTGTTTAGTTCTTTCCTGGTCTCTAGTTCCTTGTCTTACTGTGCTGCCCCTGTGGAATGTCTTCATATCTGTTGTACAGTCTGCAATGACAAGAGTGTTTAGAATACCTAGACCACCATGCTGACGCAAGCGGAAGTATTAACAAAATGTACTTTTAAACAAACTGAATATTAAATTTGATAAATAGTGTTCTCTATTGAAAGATGTTTTCTCCCTTTTCATTTATTAATTTTAATAACATTTATAGAAAAATTATAATATACAAGGTACCGTGCTAAATGGTTCATACTATATTTTTATCCTAATTAATTTTCAGAATCATCCCGAGAGAGTGCAAAAGAATGTTGAGTGAGACTTCTCACTGCCTCATAATTTCAGCTACAGCTAAAGCAGAGAGCTAAAGGTGCAACATGAGGAAAGTAGCATCTCTCTCCCTTGTGTGAGACTGACTGGAATAGCCCAAGATGGCAGGACAAGGAGAGAAGCACTAGATGAACAAACAGCACCTCCAACATTTCCAAGAGCAAGTGTGCTTGAGAGCTCATGGGCCAGAACACAGAAAGCAAGCTAAAAGACTCTGCCCCAGAGCTTGCCTACAGCAAGGGAATCTCAATAAGAAGAAGACTGTGACTGTACCTAGGGCAGGAGCTGGGAGAGAGGTCATGAGAAGTCAGTCAGAGTTTCTGGCTGCTATAACAACAATATCACAAACTGGGTGACTTATGAACAACAAACATTTCTTCCTCACAATTCTGGAGGCTGAGAAGTTCAAGATCAAGGCACTGTCATATTTGGTGTCTGAAGAGAGCCCACTTCATAGATGGTCCCCTTTTGCTATGTTCTCAAAGGTGGAAGGGGCATGGTAGATCTCTGGGGCTTCTTTTACAAGGGCACTAATTCCATTCATGAGGACTCCACCCTCATGACCTTGTTACCTCCCAAAGGCCTCATTTCATAATACCACCACCTTCTCAGTTAGAAGTTTAACATATGCATTTGGGAGACACAAACATTCAGACCACAGCAGCCAGGAATGTCATATATCCCACACTGTCAAGGTACAGTGAATTATGGTGGTGGTGATATGATGTCTCTGGAGGACCCTTTAAGAAATCCCATAACCCAGGCTCGGTGGCTCAGCCTGTAATCCCGCCCCTTGGGAGACTGAGGTGAGTGAATGGCCTGAGCCCGTGGGTTCAAGACCTGCCTGGGCAACTTAGCGAGACCTCATCTCTACAATAAATCAAAAAATTAGC